TGCGTCTCGCTATGTCACGTGAATGTGAGGAGAGAAGAACAATCAAGAGCCAACAATGCGTGTTTGTGTGAGAAGAATGTCCAGCGCTTCACACTGTCACACTCAGAGGAAGCTGAACAATCAGCTCGCCCTCTTTCCGCAAACACAGTCGTTGCTCGCCACAGGCGCATATGTTGTGTGCTGCTCTTGCTTCTGTGTAGTAGAGATGCGTTTGCTCAAGGTGCGAGTAATCACAAGAGCACACATAGAGACACGAGCAATCGCTTGCTCCAACCCACATGTGCCTCATCATACCCACACACATCGCTCGCGCATCACACACACAAGCATTCACACACACACACACACGCCCGTGCTGTTCTCATTTCATGTGCTGCGCATGCATGCGTGCTCGTGCAAGCAGTGCTCACAACACACATAAGAGTGTCGCTTCGCTGTGCCTGCAATCGCACACACACACATTACACACACACACCAAATGAAGAGAGAGGTCAGCAGAACACAGCAGGCCCAAGACCCAAGAAGAAAGAGAAGTTGTAGCTGCAAGGGCGCAGACGCGGCTTTTCGTGCCCGCAAGCAATCCTGCTCAGCGACAATCGCTTAGCTCTCATGCTTGCGCCTCTACTCAGCGGCTCTTTGCCTTTGCCTTCTCTTTTCCTTATTTGTCTTGCTCATTTGCATCCTTCCTCTCATGTATGCCAATCCATCGAGCGGCAGCTGTTTGAATCCTTACTTTGCCCTCGTGCACTTTGCCTGCAAGCACCGCAATCTAGATTCAGTGAATCTGCTAGATCTAGATTTGTGACTGGATCTAGCAAGTACGCACAGCTTCACTGCATCAAGATTATTCACATTGCTCACACCCCAGATTCCCCTGGCCCGTGACCAACCAATGCTTGCATGCATGCAATTTGCTTGCGCTGGTAATTCGCTGCAGCTGCACAGCTGCCTCGCGACGCAGTGTTCAGACACTACTCATGACAGTTTTGGGCTTTTTTCTGTCACAACATCGCACTTTTTCTGCACCCGCTTTTTGACTTCACCGACCCAGTCTCCCTACTCCGGTGATCAAGTGAGCAAGCGAGCAAACGTCACTGCACCATGCCATGAGCTGCTGCAACACGCACAAGACCACGTGGCTGGCTTGCAGGCACACGTGCGCACGAGCACACTGCACTGTGTGCACTTCTACTTGCCTGCAGGCACGCTGCGCTGAAGCAAGAAGGAGCAAAGCAGAGGAACTGAGGAGTAGAGCAGCAAGAAGGGATTCGCTTCCATGTGATTGCACAAGCGACAAGCAAGCAGGCAGAGAACGACGAGGAGCAGCGCAAGGGACACGTGTGCACGTGTGTGTGCATGCGTTTGTGCGTAGCTGTTGCCTGCAGGCACGGGAACGTGTTTCTGATTGAAGTGAATTGAATGAGTAGCGATCCTCTGCTGGCTGCAGACACACTTGCATGCGCTTGTGCAGTTGTGCTGTGTTGCTCGCAAGCATTGGTAGCTTCTTCTACTTGCATTGGATTCACTGCACAACGATCCCTCTGCTCACTGCTATGTTGCTCGCAAGCACTCACAACTTCTCCTACTCGTGTTGGATTCACTCCACTACATCCCTCTGCTCAGTGCTGTGTTACTCGCAAGCACTCACAACATCTCCTGCTTGCATTGGATTCACTCCTCGACATCCGTCTACTTACTCGCAAGCACTCACAACTTCTCCTACTTGCATTAGATTCACTCCACCACATCCGTCCGCTACATCCCTCTACTCACTCGCAAGTACTCACAACTTCTCCTGCTTGCATTGAATTCACTCCACTACATCCCACTCGCAAGTACTCACAACTTCTCCTGCTTGCATTGAATTCACTCCACTACATCCGGCTACTCACTCGCAACTTCTCCTGCTTGCATTGGATCCACTCCACGACATCCGTCTACTCACTCGCAAACACTCGCAACTTCTCCTGCTTGTTTGGATTCACTCCACCACATCCGTCTGCAAGCACTCACAACATCTCCTGCTTCCATTGGATTCAATCCACAATGATACCTCTACTCACTGTTGTGTTACTCGCAAGCACTCACAACATCTCCTGCTTCCATTGGATTCAATCCACAATGATACCTTTACTCACTCGCAAGTACTCACAACTTCTCCTGCTTGCATTGGATTCACTTCACCACATCCGTCTACTCGCTGCAGACACCTCGTGCGTACGCTTGCTTGCTCTGTGCTTGTTGCTTGCAAGCACTCACAACTTCCCTTGCTTCCACCTTGTTCACTTCACAACACGCCTCCACTCACTCGTCACTGTGTCACTACATCACCCACCATGCCTACACGCATCTGCAATCGACCCTTTATCAATTCACACCATCACTCACACACCGCTCTGTCACTCCGCTCACCACTTCACTCCACTTCACTTCACCCAGCAGCATCGCCTCCCGTCTTGGACTCACTCTCCAACATCACCTGCGCTTCCTCTCTCGCCTCCAGCAGCGATATGATCAGGTGCGCTACAAGCTCGCTGCAAACGCCTTCTTCTTTTCCCACTCCACCTTCTCTCTTCGCGCATGCGTGCTACTGCTTGCAATGTTTGCGTTTCTGCTTCCTTTGCTCCGCCTCCACAATCACAACACAACCCAAACACAACAGCACACCCATGCATGTGCCGCTTTGTCCCTTCTTCTCACCCTTCACTCACTTGTTTCCTTCTCTTCTCCCTTTGCCTTTCCACATTCCATGCGCTTGCATTGTTGCTTTGCACTTGTTGCCACATGCTTCATTCACCCTTGTCTCTCCCTCTCTTCCATCCACTCACCGCCACACAGTACCTATCCTCACAACATCACACATCCTTCACTTCACACAGCACAACACAGCACCACAACACGACCCACTGTGCGTATTTGTGCTTCCCTTCATCCCCTTCCTTGTCACCGCAAGCCTTGTCTGTCTATTTTACCTGCATTCCATCCCCCTCCTGTCTTGTTTCAATTTTTGCCACTGCTGCTGCTGTTGCCATGTGCTTGCACGCCTTCCCTTGTCCATGTTCACTACTTTGTGCCGCCACTCCTTACCTTCCCTCACCATACCTTTCCCGCCTCGTTCATGTTTCATGCTGCATGTGCTACAACACATCGTAAACCCATCAAGCCCACACTGCCGCCTTCTTCACCACCATCCCTGTTCACATCCACCACCACCACCACCAGTTGCTGCCATCATCACTCGCTTCATCCTTTTCCCACACTTCCACGTTCACAGCTGCTGCTGCTGTCCTCACCTGCATGCAACACCCACTCCACAGCCACACGCACAGCTCACCACCAATCCAATCCACATCACAACAACACACACTATGTTGACTTCACCGCAACCATCAACAACCATCAACCACCAGCACCATCACACGATACACACAGCCGCACATGCGTGTTGCATTGTATATTTCCACTTCACTTCAGCAACACGACAGCAAGCAAACACACACGCACACATACACGTGGCAAGAACAGGCGAGAAAGCATCCCCATATCAACTGCAAGCAACACACACACAACAACAAGCGACAGCTCCATGCTACGCCACACCGCTTCACTCCCCCCATCAACCGCCATCATCACCTTCAGCCAACAACAACAGCAGCAGCAACAGCAGTGTGCATGCTGTGGCAAGAGAAGAGAGAGAGAGAGAAAGGAAAAGGGAAGGAAGAAGCATACAAGGAGAGAGACGTGCACGCTGTCAAGAACAACACGACACAACACAACACAACACACAACACCCACTCACGCTCCCCTCCTTCTCCAACGAGGTGCGTGGTCTATGGCAGCCCCACGTCTTGCTTGCTTGTCCTGTGTCCTTGCTTGCACGTGTGGCCTTGCTTGGTTGTGCGTGCCATGCCATGTGTTCCAACAAACAGCCTGCACTTCCCCTGCACAAGCATCCATGTGTTTGTGTGCATGTGCGTGTGAGGATGACAAGGATGGAAGAGCGAAGGGAGTAGAAGAAGAAGAAAAAGAAAGGGAGAGATGGGAGGTGCGTGAGCACAGACGATGGTGATGGGCGCACACGACGTGGCAGTGACCACACACACACACAAACACACACACAGAAGCAGTAACGCACAACTGACACAACAGACACAAACAAGGGGGGAACAAGAGCAGCAGCGGTGCAACACACACACACACACACACACGAACCAGGGAAGGACATCAGCCAGCCAGCATCATCCAACACCCCTTGCATCCACTGGTCCATCCATGCAGCGGTGGTGGCAGGAGAGGGAGAGGAAGAAAGGGAGAGGAGGAAGAGAATGCCCTGTCTTGCCTGCCTGCCTGGCTGTGTGAGGATGTGTGCCTGCACACCCACTCATTGCCTGTCTGTGTCTGTGTCTGTGCGTGTCACCATCCATACACACACGTGTGTGTGTGTGTGTGTGACAGATACACACACACACACAGTGTGAATCACAAGCAGACACAGCATGAACAACTTGCACACAGTCACAGTCACACACATACGCAAGTGCAACGCACCGTGGGTTGGCATCAGACTGCGTGTCAGCGTGTGCGTGTGTGTGTTCACACACGTGTGTGTGGGTCGATGCAGCGCATCATCCCTCTCTATGCGTGGGCCACATGCATCCACGGCAGCAGGAGTGCGTGTGAGATCACAACACCCACCGCAGCCACATCCACCTCTCCCTCCTCCACACACACAAACACACGCACCAGCACAGCGGTCAAACCAATTGACAGAACTCGCCCAAACTCACGGTGCCAGCGTGCCATGGGCCTGTGCAGCACATATGTCAGCCTCACCGACCGTGGGCAACGCCTTGCATGCCTTTGGCCCTGCACACATCCATGGTGTGGGCGCTGCTGTACGTGTTCTCTGCTTGCACCTGTTCACCATCACACCATCACCCACCACACCCCACACAGTCCATGGAACCAAACGAGACCACCCACAACAGGACCGCCAGTGAGTGCCCGTCACAACGCGCACCCTCTCCCCCCTCTCCACCAACCCTGCGCCAGCCACGCACTCGAACAACGCAAGCCACCACCTCCCACTCAAACACACACACGCACCTTGATTCGCGCTTCGCCTGCTGCTTGCTTGTTTTTGTTGGTCTTGTTGATTCGTGTTTGCACGATTAGTGGAAGATGCCACAAATAATCGCCCACTGCTGCGTTTGTGCGGCAACTGCTGTTTGCCTTTGCTTGTTGAAGGGCGGACTTGCTTGCTTTGCTGGTTGGTTGGTTGGTTGGTTTCAATGAGACAAGAAGAAGAAGGAGAAGGAGAAGGGGGAAGGGGGAACAGCACTGTGCGTGTGAATGCAACGCAGGCTGACAGGCCTTGCAGGCTGAGGAGGGGCAGGGAGAAGAAGGAAGAAAGGGGGGATGGAAAAGAAGAAGAAACAAACACACGCACACACACGCACACACACATGCACAGCTGTGGACAGCATGCATCCCCTCTCTCCTCTCCTCCTCTTCGCTTCCTCCTCCCTCCCCCTCCCTTCTCACAGTCACAACAGACAACTACCAGCCACAAAGGGATGGAAGAGAAAACAAACAAGGGGAGGGGGGCAACAGCTACCCAGCCAGATCGCCATGGAAGCAAGAGGCGAGATGGAGAGGGGGGGGGGGAGGGGAAAGGAGAACACCGTCCATCAACATGCACACACGCACACGCACACACATCTATTGGGATCCCCCACGTCTTCTGTCCTTGCTTCCCCTCCATCCTCTTCCTTGGCCTGGGTTGAGTTGGGTTGGTTGAGGTGGCACAGCTCGCCATGGCATGGCATGCGTGGATGTGGGTTTGGGCATGGGTGTTGGATGTGGATGGGTTCCTCTCTGTGTGTGAAAAGGGAGTTGGAGGGAAACAGTGGAAGGGGTGGTAGCAGCAGAGAGAAAGAAGGAGAAGAAGCAAGGGAAGGGCGGTGGATGTGAGCATGCCATGCATGAGTGGATAACAACAACACATGGGGTGCAGCGATGATGATGTGCTTGGTGTTGTGCGTTGTGTGTGATGGCACAAGAACACAAAGGTCAACCACACACACCTCGTCGTCGATCAACGCATCTGCCTGGCAAATGCGCACACGCGCACGCACATCTGCAGTCACACACACAGTCACACATGGCATTGCAGAGTGAGACAGCGCACCACGCACACCCATACACAGCAATGCAAAACACAACCGTCACAACGACAACATATCTCTCCCCTCATCTCCATCCCCCAATGCACGGTCACATGACCAGGTACACAGCCGTGGTGGTGATGATGGCCATGATGAACGCCTTCCTCCCAACTTCCCCCCAACCCCTTCCACCAAACACACACAATATCGCGTGCCCTCACCTCGTACATCGTGTTGCTGTCGGCGTGGTTGATGGCGATGCACACACATGCACACACGCACACATCGCCGTGTGTGTTCCCAGTTGAGATGAGCAAGGGGAGGGAGACATAGGCGACACGACACGATGGCCAGTCAACCCCAGCCAATCCAATCCAGCATCCACTGCCGTGTGTTGCCTGCTGCAGTCATCATCACAATCACACAATCACAAACAGGTGCGCAGGTACAAGCAAAAGGAATGAGCCACTGATATGTGTGTCACTGTCCTGTGATACCACCACCACATGATTTCACGTGCATGTGCACACGCACCCCCATCCCCCAACCAACATCATCGCCCTCCTATCACTTCCTCTCCCTCCTTTCGCTCCGCACTCCCACGTTGCACCACCACCGCCATCACCACCACCACCGTGTCACTTCCCTCCTCCCCCCGCTTCTCACCACTCCACACAAACCAGCCCACCAACCAACCAGCCGCCAACGATCATCCTCACCTGTGCTTGATGCAGCCAGACAGCTAGCCGATGTGCCACAGCGAAGCCAAACAAGGGAACCGCAATCACATGTCACGGCCACCATCGTCATCGCTGATGGAGCAGAAAGAGGAGATGACAGGGGAAGAGTGGTGGGCACGGGCCGTGTCTTTCCTTGTCTTCATCAGTGCAGCCCCAAACACGGTGCACAGCGCACGTGCACACGCACGGCCGTCATCACAGCAGCACCAGCAGCAGCACAAGCTTGCATGCCTGCCTGCGTGTATGCCTGTGAGGCATGAAGAAACCAACCAGAGACGAACAACAATGACCGGTGGTGGTGAGGACAGGAAAGGAGGGACACAAGGGGCCACGCATGGGAACATGCAGCATGTTGTGGGTGGGGTGCATCACCTACACACAAGAACAACGAAGCAAGCAAGCAAGCAAGCAAGCAAGCAAGCAGGCACACCACATCCACCACATCCAACACTCCTGCAATACCTGTGTTGGCGGCTGTCTCGATCACGCGTCAACCGCGCCACATCACATGGGAAAGGCCGATGATGATGATGACACAGAGCAAAGGCGATAGGTTGGGAAATGAGGAAGGAAATTCGGTTGGGGAAACCCGCACACATGCGCCTGCAGCCACGCACACACACACATTTGAGTTGTGTGATTGATTCATGTGAGACACACGTCAGCGCAACCACCCCACAGCCAATGTCTGCTTTGATGTGTTGGCATACATGTGTACATGCGTGCGTGTGAATGTGTTTGCCACCAGTCCACCCTTCACCGCACACACACACACACACACACAGCGGCAGCGTCTCACCTTGTGCCTTCTTCTCTCTCACATTTGTGTGTGCGTGTATCGCCCTGCTCGTGTCATGAGGGCTTGGGAAGAAATCGGCCACCGTCCTGTGCAAATCACACACATGTGCACATGCGCAAGCACAAAGAACCAAATCAGCAAGAATGACACCACGCAGTGAGCCAGTATGGCAGAAACAAACCACATCCACCTCGTTTGCCACATTCACATCACCCACATCACCACCTGTGCATGCACATGTCACATCCCCAAACACAGATACACACCACCACCGCCACAAGCAGCACATCTGCACATGCGTGTGCGTGCGCCGTGTACATCCACCACAAACCACTCACCACCATCATTGTCGTCGTCACGCGAGGCAACGGCACATCGACGCGCAATACACCCTGTATGTGTGCGTGTGGAGAAAGAGGCGAGTTGGCACAGAATCAGGATATCAACGACAACAACATCCATTGCCACCACCAACAAACCCAACGACATCCAACCAGCACCGCACAATCACCCCCGCATACATGCTGATGTTCACACCCAACACATCACACACCACCCACATCACCACAACCACAACCACCATCATTCATCTCACCTCCACATCCATGGCCGCATCCGCTGCTGTTGGTGAAAATGACGAGGAGGAGGAGGAGGAGATGGACAGAGGGTCAGTTCATCCACAATGCAGCCACACATCCGCTGTTGCTGTTGCTGCTGGTGGTGGAAAGGGTGAAAACAACGGCCCCTTGCCACGCCGTGTCCTTTGCTCGCTCGCTCGGCTGCTTGGTTGGTCGGTTGGATGGAAGCGGGATACATGGCCCTGTGTCCAAATCAATCGAAAAACAGGAGAGAAGAACAGACACATGAGTGGACAGAACAGACAAGGAAAGAGGGAAGCGAAGAAGGAAATACAACGTGTCAACCATACACACACACACACATCTAAGTCGCCCTTCTCACCTCCATCACTCGTCATCGTCATCGTCGTTGGTTCCACCGCTTCATGCGCCTCCTCAACGCTGTCAAATGTGTGTGCACGCACACAAGATGGGAAGAATGCAGGGGGGGTGAGGTTGACAGCGAAGCATCATCAACCACCCGCCAGCCCCATCCAACCACCCGCATTGACACACATTCACACGCACGCACACATGTTGTCCCCACTCATCCCACCACCATGCACACACACATTGCTCACCTTTTCATCAGAGCGACTGACATGTGCAATGTCTGCCTCACGCCAGATTGAGGCTGGTGTCAGCTGGGTGTGATGGCGGCTGTGCAGTCGATGGCGATGACGGTGACAGCGGAGCTGAGGTGGAAGAAAGAAAGGAGAGAGAAATGGGGAGGGTGATGATGATTGGGTCGTTCATGGCGGCTGCTTTCCCCTCCTCTGATGTGGCCCTGGCGCCCATGCAACCAACACACAACGACAAGACACAACGGCATCATCACACACAAGGCACAGGCATGGCATGTGAGCACAGCAGGCGTATTCAGCTTCCTGCTCATCCTCTGCTTTCCTCCTCCTCGCCCCACCATAACCACACACACACACACACACATCTGCGCCTGATGGCGTCGCTGTGGTTGGATGTGCCCGCCATGACCATGGACGTGTGTGTCCACAGCTGCTCCTCCCAATCCATCATGTGTGTGCACCGCCCATCATCCGCCAACGATCCTCACGCAGTCGCTCCCTACAGCCGCAAACACACACATGCACACATTGCATGTGAGTTGCACAGCTACACTGCTGCACCAGGCACAGCAGCAGCAACAACAACACATGCACCATGTGCCAACCAAAGCATCCATGATGGGCTCACCTTGCTCACATGTAGGAATACTGCATGAGCACAGCAGCGGCAGCCGAATTGGGGGAGTTGCAGCAGCAGCAGTCGGCATGCGAGCCCGCTTCCAAGTGATGTGTGCTGGTACCTCACCACCTGTGCATGCGTGTGTGTGTGCGTGTGGTTGCAGGGAACGTGGATGGGAACAGAACACAATAGGCACAGCGCAAACCATCACGTCAGCACAGCAGAACGAGTGATTGACATCACACGCACCACGTGGGTGTGTGTCGGTGTGTGTGCGTGTGTGTGTGTGTGTCGGTGTGTGACCATCATCTCCATCAACCCTCTTCCCTCGTTCACTTCATTACACCCCATCGTCACAGCCCCATCACACAACCAACCAATCACTCATCACCACCCACATACCATGTGCGAGGCGAGTGCAGCTGGCACGCGTGACAAGTATCCTCGACATTTCCCTCATCCTGCTGCTTGTGCGTGTGCATCGCCTGTAAGTGTGTGGTTGTGTGCGAACACCAGCATGGTGAGTGAGTGGGAGGGAAGAGGGAGCATTGATATGTGTGCGCAGTCATACTGCTGCTGTCGCTGCTGGTGTTGTGCATGCAGGTGTGAAGAAGAAAGGGAAGAGGGAGAGAAAACAGAAAACAGAAGGAAGGAACAAGACATGCTGCACCCCATCCATCCATCCATCCCTCTTCCTCACACCACCACCACTACCATCCTCTGTCACCAGCCACACCACACCACACCACACCGTACTCACCCAGCATCCCCCACCCCACCTCATCCATCTCACCCCACCTCATCCAGCCAACATACATCTCCTCTCCGTTTTCCCTCTTCTTCTCGCCCTCACATCACCTCTGCTGGTTCCAGCCGAAAGTGCAACTTGTGCTGTCGCCACCTGTTCCCAGCAGCAAACAGCCAGCTTCCGCCAGCAGCAGTGGGCGATGGGTTGCTTGCTTGCTTGCTTGCTTGGTTGGGATGCGTTCAGCAGCAAGTGGTGGTGGTGGTGCATTCTCTGTTGCTGCTACATCGGCGGTGGAGGGTGTGTTGGCTGCTGTTGTTGTTGTTGTGATGGCCGCCAGGGAGGGCGAGAAAGAGAGGGGAAGATAAGCAGCTGCTGCAAGGTGGAGAATGTGCAGGTGTGCAGGCAGTTGTGTGTGAGAACGACGAATGAGACAGCGCATCAAGCAAGGCAAAACAGGCAGCCACACCACACATACATGCACACATTAATGTGGGACAACAAGGGGAGACAGGGGCAACAAAGACAGCGACCACAAAACACGCACGCTGGCGCTGTGCGCAGCATACACACACACATACATGTACAGTGATGCACTCACGTTGTTCATCGCTCGCTTGCTTTGTGGTGTGTGTTGGTGCTGCTGCTTCCACAGCCGCACAAGCGTGGCTGGATGGTCATCACATGGCAACGCCCGTCTGTTCATCCCACCAGAGCAGTGGTGGTTGGTTGATGGAGGGGGAGGGGTGACAGCTGCTGGCTCAAGGCCCTCTGTGTGGCGACAGCAGGAGGGAAGGGGAAACGAGCAAGCGTGGAGGGTGGTGGTGTTGGCGGTGTTGAGGATGGGAAGGAAAGGATGTGAGGAAACACAAGAAAATGAGGTGGTAATGATGATGGCGTGTGGATGGGTGGAGAAGAGCACGTACACATAGACACACACACACACACACACACACACACACACACACACACACACACACACACACACACACACACACACACACACCTGCCACGCGTTGTCGCCGCTGAACAGGGTGATCCTGGCAGACTCCAGCGTTGACAGTAGCAAATAGCACAAGCATGACACACGAGTTGGCAGATGGTGAGAGTGGTGGAATGGACACGAGAACAAGCGAGCAACGCACGCACCACAAACCTCGCCACACTCACTCCAGAACTCCCTGTCCCAATGACTCACTCCCTCACCTGTGTGCACTTGGGTACAGAGGGACTTGAAGAACTCCTCAAACACAAACACAACGGGTCTCTGCATCGTCTCCACCACCTCATCAGGGATCGACCGCAGGATCCTCGGAAGCTGAACACAGTTGTGTGTGTGTGTGTGTGTGTGTGTGTGTGTGTGTGTGTGTGTGTGTGTGTGTGTGTGTGTGTGTGTGTGTGTGTGTGTGTGTGTGTGAGCGACGTGCCATCACCAAACACAAAACCACCAAAGCACATCACCCCTCACGCATCGCTTCACATACCCATGTCACCGATCTGTCACCGCACCTCGAGGAGCCTGTGCTCGGGAATGCGGATGCTGAACGTCTCCCAGTCCAGCAGGTCCTGGTAGGGCTGCAAGAATGCAAAAAGGAAACGCCAGAACATCACATCACAGCGCCATGAGCGACGGGAGGGGCACATCCACACAGTGATGTGACACACAAGAAACACACAAACACACACACAATGTACAATCCATCCATACGCACCAGCACGTAGTGATCGACGACAATGACGGGGATGGTACCCGCAGCCATGATCTATGAGGCATGAAAGGGGGTGACAGGAGATGGAAGGTGGTGAGAGCACAAACAGGACCGAAATCGTCTGCAAAACACACACACACACACACACACACTCACTCTCTCTCTCTCTCTCACACACACAAACACACACACACACACACCTGAAGGGGTGGTACCCAAATGCTTCCACGATGAGCCCAAACTTGGTCTCCAGCGCCAGTTCCGTGTACATGTACTTGTTGAACTCTTCCTCTGCCTGCTTACACGAGGGGTCATATCCACCCTTCCCCTCACGGCCCATGCGCTCTTCGCCAAACCACCGACACGCGTACACCCACACAATGCCCCTGCGCATCCAAGCACAAACGCAAGTGGTGTGTGTGTGTGTGTGTGAGGTGGATCCAGACAGACACGCACACAGCACCAAAACCAGCTGACTCCGAGGCAACACACGACACACACACGGAACACAAGAACACACAACACTCGCACGCGCAGCACACCACACCTGCCATTGTGCAGCTTGGGGAGGTGGTTGCACATGGCACCAAGAACGAGCAGACTTGGTTGGTGTCTCTGCAAACAGGGAAAGAAGACACACGTCAAGCAGCGGCACCACAACAGGTTTGGAGTGAGGTTGCAGTGGCACAAGAAGCGCGAGTGGTGGTACAGTGAGCGACACCAACCCCTCAAATCAACCAGCAGCAGCAGCAGTGAACATCGAACCCCACATCGCACCACGTCACATACACACACACACATGCACAGACCTGAAGGTGACGAGGTACTTTCTGTTTGTGCGGGCGGAACGCGTCGCTCCGGTGTGAATGAATGAATGTCACCATGGAGAAGAGTGGCATGGACACACCGAGGCCATTGCGATGGTGGAATTCGCTCAGGCCAACCTGATGCAGGTGGTGATGCGAAACAAGGCGGCATTGGTGAAGTGTAAGCAACAGCAGTCGTAGATGGTGAGCGTAGGCACGCACAGTCATGTTCCAGCACACACACACATAAGTGTTGTACCTTGGCGACGATGGCGTGTTCTGCATGCCAGGGGAGACATGGTGCGTCACTGTACTCAAACAGGATATGGTTGCGACCCTCTTTTCGATACGCAAGTCTGCCATGCATCATCACATGTGAGCGTGTGTGTGTGCGTGTGTGTGTGTGTGTTTGGAAGGCAGCCATGAACACAGGTTCTCTCGCACGCACGACATCAAGATCCACAAGGACCACCAGCACCACAAGCACCACAAGCAACAACAAACCACCACCTCATCTGGAGAGATTGCGCTCGATGGCTGCGCTCACGGGATGCATCGACTCAATGTTGCCAGAGTACGTGCTGTGCATGCAATCTTTCAGCCGCAAGCGCGCAAACACAATTATGAGGTGGTGGTGGGTGATAGTGACTGCTGTGGAAGCCCGTGCATCTGCACCGACGCGACACACACAATCACACACAATCACACACACACACACAACACAAACACAAACACACAGCGCACCTTCACACCAGCACGACACGTCGGTGCCTGGGACGAGGAGGCAAGCCCTGGACGGGTCATCGGTGCTGTACGGCCGTCACGGATGGCGGTTCGGATGGCGCGGTAGATGGCTGGCAGGGGCGGCCTCTTCGTCAGCACTCAGAGGGTATACGTACACCTGCCATAGATGCACGCACGCATGAACACGCAATCATAACACACACGCGGACAAAGAGTGTGAGGTCATCATGCTTCGGTTGCACGCCATTCCACGCCGTTGCTGTTGCTGTTGCTGTGTTGGTGGATCTTCGCCTTGAACGATGGGCACGTGCGAAGAGCATCGATGGATATGCCGTGCGGTCATCGCTGACATCAGGGGCCGTCATTGGCAGTGCGATGGTGCAGCGGCATCTCGGGGCAGTGCGTTCTGGTAACAGTGGTGGTTGTGGTGGAGACGATGGGTGCATTTGTTGTGTGATGAGGCGCGCGGATGAAAGGGGATGGGAGGAGTGTTGGGAGATATCTGCAACAAACCGCTGCACACACACACACACGCACACGCACACGCACACACACACACACACACACACAAACACACACACACACACAAACACACGCACTGTGTCAAAGAGTTCATTCTCTTCGGCAGACATGAAGCTGTAGAGACGAAGTCGTGAAGAGAACCGCACAGAAGGATTGCAAGACGATGGCGAGTGATGAGTGGTTCAGTGTGCACAGCTGCACCACCATCAGCAGCAGCAGCAGCGGCGTCGGCCGCAATGCGCCCGCAACAACAACACAATTCGGTGGTCGCACCTCATGTCACCATCATCCTTGTGCCGGAGCAGCGTCTCCCTTCCTCTCTTCAGCTTCCAGGTGTACCCTGTGGCCCAAACACGCACGAGGAACAGAGATTAGGACCACACATCGTAGCACAAGATCAAACGATCACAAGCAAAGAACAGACAGCAGACGCATGGAAGAATGACCACGTCGACGACACATATGTACACACGCTTACACATACAGCGTGCGCATACTTTTGAAAGCATTCGCTCTGTCCCGCCACGAGCAGCATCTTGCCAATGTTACCAACATTCTGCTCCATCGACTCAATCAAGGGCATCCAGTGGATGGCAACCTGTTCGTTAACGGTGGCGAGATGGGTGTTGCAGTGAGCGAGGGAACGTGCGCAGGAGTGATGAGCCGTCATCACACGGTGGCTGAGCGTAATGAGAAACACACACACACACACACACACACACACACACACACACACACACACACGTCGCTCACTGTCATGCTGCGACGTGGGCATGCCATCATCATCCCCAACACTCATGTCCAGCGAGATGATACCACGCAAGCGGGCTGCTGTGGGGTGTGTGCGTGAAAACCACGTGTGCATGGGGCAGGTGATGAGCACCTATAGCGTGTATGCCATGTGAACTGACTTGATTGCAAGCTGGGGGATGAATGATGTGTGACCACGAGAGAAGACTGACCGATGTCAGCGCAAATGCTGTGATTGCTCGCTCCGGTACCGCTCTGGAGGTGCGTCCCACTCAAAGGTGGCCTTCTGTATTGCTGGTGCCTTGGTCTCCGCCACTCTCACTTGCGGATTCCTGTCTGTTTGTTGTTTGCGTGGGAGGAAGAGACGATGCATCCGTGAGAACACACGTGCCAACAGCAGCAGCACCAGCAGCAGCAAGACAGCAGCAGTGACAGCAGGGACTGTGGTTTGGAAATCGGATCACCACCGTGCACTGATACACACACACACACACACACACACGCACAACACACACAGAGCGGAGGTGTGATTGCACCCACCTCGCAGGTGGCCGTGAATGACACTGCTTGTCGCTTGCCTTGTGGTATGCGTATATCAGCGGCAAGTGTTGCCAGTGCACTCTCAAGAGCGTCGTTAGGTTTCTGCAGGCCACTGCCATATCCAACCACAAGAGAACAGCACATGCTCACGTTAGCCAAGCACAACAACGACGACCTGACGACGACGAAACCACCACTTTCAGCAGACCCATCCTTGTGCCACAAGATGAAGAAGGAAAGAAGGGAATCCACACCCACAGCCACAACAAGACAGCAACAGCAACAACCGACAGCACTGCCACCACAAACAGGACACCGCGTCCCACGTTCACGTACTTGGTTGCGTGACGCATGGAGCGAACGAATAGTGCCCAAGAAGAAGAAGAACAAGAACAAGAACAAGAACAAGAAGCAGAAGTCGAGGAAGGGACAGCGGGCATGGTGTGTGTTGGCTAACCTGAGGATCGTTGACGTGACGCCTGTTTTGTGTGCATGTGTGTGTGTGTGTGTGTGTGTGTGTGTGTGTGTGTGTGTGTGTGTGTCAGAGACCTTTCTTCCACATTGGTCTGGTTGGCTGTTGGTGACTGGGTAGCGATCACCAACAATCCCCTCTTCCCCTCTCCCACATCTCTCTTCTCCCCCATGCTGCTGTTGCGGTGACTGCCACATCACCCCCTCCTTCCTTCCTTGCCTTACCTTCCCTCGTTGTGTGCACTGCACCAAAGAGAACAAGAAGAAGAAGAAGAAGCGTGCAAGCAAGAAGCGAGTTTGGGCTGCCACATCTCCACAGTCGTCGTGTCATCGACTGATTTCAGCTTTCCCCGTCTTCTGCACAAACACGCACAACAGACGTTTGTCGTGGCTGGTTGCGCGCAATGCACACACACACACCACACACACACACACACACACACACACACACACACACACACACACACACACACACACACACACACACACACACACACACACACACACACACACACACACACACACACACACACACACACACACGCTGCATTCGCTGCGACGAAAGGAAAGGATGGATGGGGAGGTGCGTGGTGGTGGTGGTGGTTGGCGGTGGTGGTTTGGTCACACACTCAGCAACAACAACAACAGCAGCAGCAACCACAACAACAACAGCAGCAGGGAGCAGCAGGGGGGATATTGATGATGATGACAATGACACAAGCAATCCATCAATCAATCAATCAAGCAGACGAGCCAGCACACAAGCAAGAAGCAAGCAAGCCAAGGGACATGTATTCATTCACTCCACTTGGACGAGCGACACGTCCACCACGTGGTGCGTGCGTGTGTGTTGTACTCACAGCTCTGCTTCCTTCACACTGTTCCTCCCTGCCTCGCAGTCCTCTCTCCCTTTCTTTCCCTTGCACACCCCTTGCTTTACCTGCTCTCTGCACACCATCTCTTCTCCACTTCTCCCCCCCCCCCCTCACTCACACGTCTCAAGTCACATGCCTCTCACCTCCCCCTTTGCCTTTGGCTGCAACGCTGTGTGTCTTCATCTCCACCACCACCACCTGTTTTGCAGGCTGACGATGAGGATGATGATGGTGGCTTGAATGACAGCACCGTGTACTTGAGCGGGTGCCATCACCGTGTGCCACGACAACAAGAGGCACTTCCTTCTCTCTCGCTCTGTCTCGGTATGTGTGGCTGATGGGGTGGGGGGGGATGTTGCCTGGGATTTCCATTGCACTGCACTGTACCTCAATGCGCTGTGTGACGCGACATGCACACCACAGTTTGCACGCCTTCTTCCCCCACTTATCCCCTCAGCACGTCTTTGTTCTTGTCAACCACCTCCCCTCGTCAATCACACCCCACACCCCACACACATACTCTCTCCTTAACCCCTGTCACGATGTGTGCTTGCTTCAGAGCAGGCCTCTGACATTGTCATCACCGCTGCCATACGGCGGTCGGTGCCATGCACGGGCACGGAGACAGTGAGCCAGCTCGTGGTCTCCAGCGTGGTGGCTGGGATGTGCACTGAGGTGAAGGATCCCACCACCACACTTCCGCTTCCATGCCGCCATGGCTGACACCACTGGCACTGCTGGTTGACACGCACCAGCAGGCATCGCTCCCAGCGCCACACAAGATGTGTGTGTGTGTGTGTGTGTGTGTGTGTGTGTGTGTGTGTGTGTGTGTGTGTGTGTGTGTGTGTGTGTGTGTGTGTGATTGAATTCATTTGCACTCGTTGCCCCACCCGCATGTCGAAGCAACCACGCACACCGACCACCCCTCGTCAACACAACACCATTCAGCGCCCCAAATGTGCTGATGCAGGGCTGCACTGGCACGTCGTGCACGACAGCTTCTCATCGTCAGTTCTCCCTTCTCTCCGTTTTTTGTCTTCACACAGGTCGCATCACCCCCGCCCAGTGGAGCGCCTGCATCTTGCTCCCCACCCTCCCGTTGCACGCGTGCACACACCGATTCCGGCCCAGCGCAGGCTGTGCTGCAGCAGCCAACCACCCACACACATCGTCGCCGTATCCCCGCATCAACCAACCGCAGCCACCGACAGCCACGGGCATTGCACCTTTGCTGTGATTGAGTGCTGCCAGCACGTGGCCCCACCTCAACCTGCCACATCATCATCACCATCCCCGACACTGCCATGTGTGTGTGTGTGCGTGTGCATGCATGCGTATTCACGCCATCGTCAACCACACCACATTGACACAGCAACAGCTGCACTGCTTGCTGTCCTGCGCGGCGTTGTGGCGGTGCACTCAAGGCCCTTTTGCCAGCCGGTTTCCCGCTGCTGCTAGCTGTGCTTCTCCTGCCCATCTCAATCACCTCAGCTTCAACCACAACTGCTGCTGTTTTCCGCCACCTCATCTTCTGCCAGCGAGGCCTCCCACCACGGTCATAGCCGTCACTGCACGCTGCCGGTTTCAAGCAGCTCACTGCGTTGGATGCTTTTGGCCCGTGGACCACCACACTGTTGTTGGAAGAGGGATTGGCCGTGATTGTGGCGGTTGTTGTGGTGCTGCACGCCATGACATCAACAGCGGCAGTTGACGAGGTGATGGTGTGCTTGCGCTCCTCACTGGTTGCAGCGGCAGCAAGGAGGCGGCCATCGTGTTTCTGGTTCGCATGCATGTGCTGGCGACGTGGCGCAGGAGCGGTTCAAGGACTACGACAACGATTCTGTGCCGTTTATGAAGAACATTCTCCAACACGCGAACGACAGGCAGTACCGCATGCTGCGCGGCCTGATGGGCGTGTCTGTCTGCAACGACATGTTTGCGCCGGATGCACACGACCTCATGCACATTATGTAAGCCAGCGCCGCCCAGATTGAGGAGGAGGATCCACAACCCACGTACATCCACACAAGGTGCGCTCAAGGTCAAGAGGGCAAGAGTGTGTGTGTGTGTATGTGTGTGTGTGTGTGTGCGTGTGTGTGTGTGTTCATGAACATGTGTGAACATGTCGCTTCGTCGTTTCCCTCCTTTCTCCACTTTCGGCTTGCCAAGCCTCACCGCCACCCCTTGTCGTCCTGCCGCGTTCAGGCTGTTGAGTCGCTGCTCGCTGTGATCCAGGGTTCCCGGCTCCCGTGAATCGCCCAACACCAGCGCGACCGAGAACTGCATCTCCGCCTTTGTCAAGGTTGCACACGGCCTCTCAGAGGTGTGTGTGGTTGTGTGTGTGTGTGTGTGCGTGCGTTGGTACACTCCTTCGCCGTCCTTTTGCGTTGGTTGTTTGCTCTTGTTGTCACTTTTTCGTCGCTTTTTTTTCCTCATCCACCCATCCACCATCAACCCTTGCACAGACGAGATGCTGACACATCTGCTTGACTGGCTGTCTATTACAGAAGACGACGATGAAGCAAAGTACATCTTCACATACCTCCTTCAAAGCGTGAGTGCTACCGCTGTACTTTGTGTGAGTGAGTGTGTGTGTGTGTGCATGGCCTGGTCGTGCTGCATGTGTCCTGTCGTTCTAGTTCCCGACTAACTCTCCCGTTCCCCCTCCCATTGCTTCCTGTACCTCCCTCGCCTTCCTTTTGTTGTTGCTTCTGTAGGCAAGATCCACGCGAGACCGCGCCTGAGTGCCCGGTGAAGATTGTGCGGGCGTGTGTTTGTGCAGGTGATTGGCACCCCCGCAGCCGCCGTCGACGAGCCCCACTGCCAGGGCATGTACACAGCCTCATGGTGCGTGGGTTGTGTTGTGTGTGATTTATGTGATGTGTGTGTGTGTTTGCTGCCTCGAATATGCGCGACTGTCGTGCACTTTGTGTACTTTCCCTCCTCCTTCCTCCTCCTTCCTCCTCCTTCCTCCTCTTTGCACTCCCCATTCTCACGCCCTCGTGTCGTTTCCTCTCGTAGAACATGCAGGATTCGCCTGCCCACGGTGTGTTGGGGCAGTTGATGCAGGACCCCGAGGTGCACACCCGCGTGCAGCGCGCTGTTGAGGCACTTAGCTCGTCCGCGTAGTCGCCATGTTGTGATGTGTCGTGTCAACTTGTGCACCAGTTGAACGAATGGCTGAATGTCTGTCGATTCCTCTGTCGCATTCCTCTTGTTGCTCTCTTCCCTTGTCTTCTTCTCTTCTCTTCTCTTCTGTTCTTCCCTTCCTTCACTCTCCCTCTCGCCTGCTTGCTTGCTTGCTTGCTTATGTCACGCCCTTCCTGTGCTTGCCTGTTCTTTTCATTGTATGGCGCTGTGTACGGCTGAACACGTTCTTGGTGTGTTTGGTGGATGTGTGCTGCTGCTGCTGCCGTGCGTGTTTGATTTTGGCTTGTGACTGCAGGGTGTTGTTTGATGTGCAGAGGGGTTGGTGTTGTTTGGTTGGCTTGGCTTCCTGTTGCGTATGGGCACTGCTGTGTGTGTGGATGTGTGTGTGTGTGTGTGTGTGTGTGTGTGTGTGTGTGTGTGTGTGTGTGTGTGTTGATGTGTTGGGCTGGGAGCGTTGTTTTGGATTGTGTGGCGGACCTGTTCTTTCCTCAGTAAATGGCTCGATGAAGATGATGAGACCCGCTTGACGGTGGTGATGGTGGAGCGGCGGTGATGTTTGTGGTGTTGATGTGGCTACAGACATTGGTGTGTTGTACCGACCAGGCAAGGCCAAGCGAGGAGGGAGCGGCTGTTGTTCCTTTCGGCGACAAAGAGAGTCGGGTTGTTGCTGGCTGGAGGCACTTCATCCTGTTTGTTTGTTGTGTTCTCGAAGAGATTGTTGACGAACATCTTCCACGGAAGCGCTGCTGTGCGGATAACCTCTGTAAGGTTTTGCGAATCGTCCAGATGGCTGAGTCGCAAAACAACAACACACACACAACAAAGGAAAACAAAAAGCAGCGCGTTGAGTTGTCGTCGTCCATTTTGTCGTCGTCTTCTTCCAGCCACTCACGAACACGTCACAACAAGCCACAAGGAGAAAAGACGACGCGCCGCCATGTCCGAGAAGAGAGCGAGGAGGGAGGTGGAGGCGTTGCTGGCGCAAACGAAGCTGCCTGCAAAGAAGGAGAAACGGGTGAAGGACAAGATCAGAGCCATCGCCAACAACACGTGTGGGGAGATAGCAGAGTGAGTGCAAAAGCAACCAAAACGACGTGTTGGAACATGCATGCATGTGTTGGACACACGGACACTTCTTGTGGTTGTGCTTATTCTCCCCTCTCTCTCTGCTTGGCTTGTCCTTGTGTTGCAATGAGCTTGGTGTGGCTTGCTGTTGGGTGTTTACGTGTGCGCGTCCCCTCGCACCGCCTGGACACACTGTGTGTGTTTGTGGCAGGTTGGGACTGGCACCCTCATGTTTTTGCTCTCTTCATCCTCAGTCTTCTTGCTCATTGCATGACACACACCATTTGGAATGTTAGCTTGTATGATGCTGGCCTCGGCGTCATTGGGGCGCGTGCGGTGGCCGAGGCGCTCAAGGACAACACCTGCCTCAAACGACTCTAGTGCGTGGTGATGATGAATCTGCACCGTGTGACATGCATGGTTGATTGGGATGGCGGTGTTGCATGTTGCACCCCTTTTCTCCTCCCCTGTTTGCGCATGTTTGGCCGTGTGTTCACCTTCGCTCCCCGCGTTTCGTGTGTGCCTGCACAGCCTGGACAACAATTCCATCGGCGATGAGGGCGCTGTGGCGTTGGCGGAGATGCTGAAGCACAACACGACCCTCAAAGAACTCTTGTGAGTGTACACGCACACACACACACACACATGTGTGCTGCGTCACTGCCTGTTGCACCTTATCACGTGCACACGTGCCCATGTGTGGATTGGTGACTGTGTTGCCACCCACAACAATCATCATCACGCACGCACGCACTCACTCTTCCTCACCCATGTGGCATCATCGCCCTGTGTGGCATCCACCATACCGTCTTGACAGCCTGTACAACAACTCCATCGGCGATGAGGGCGCCGTGGCGTTGGCGGAGATGTTGAAGCACAACACGACCCTCAAAAGGCTCGAGTGAGTGTGTACACGCACACATGTACATGTATGCTGCGTCACTGTCGTTGCACCTTATCACGTGCACATGTGTGGATTGATGACTGTGTTGACACCTACAACAATCATCATCACTCACTCACTCACTCTTTCTCATCCATGTGGCAACATCGCCCTGCGTGGCATCATACCGTCTTGGCAGCCTGGATGGCAATTCCATCGGTCCTGAGGGCGCTGTGGCGTTGGCGGAGATGCTGAAGCACAACACGGCCCTCAAACAACTCCAGTGAGTGGAAGCTCCTCTTTGAAATGTGTGTCTTTAGGCGCTTCTTCTGCAATACCCATGTGCAGATGGAGGCACTGCAAGCCACCCACGATGTCCCTGCGACTTGCTTGTTTGACCAACCAACAGATGCTTCCAGCCTTCACCTGTGCCACAAATGCTGCCACATCTTGTACAACTGGCATTGCCCCCTTTGCTTCCGCCATTGTGACTTCAATGTCGTAGGACCTGATGTGCGAGCGAGTACGCGTGCACGTGATCCATATGCAACCCACTTTCATCCATGACACTGACAATTGCTGCTTGTCCACCCGTTCCCCCTGCTCTTCCAACATGCATTTCTTGCCACTTGCAGCTTGACCAAGAACTCCATCACCCCGGTTGGCGGTGCGGCGCTGGGTGCCGCACTGGACCAGAACCGCACCCTGTCTCGGCTTGAGTACGTCAATTGCGTTGCGCCTGCCTCATGAACGCCTGTGTCCTGTTGTGGATTTGTGTGACCAATCGCCACTCTTTTGAGTGCACGCCACACTGTGTGTGTTCCTCTCTGCTTGCTTGCATTTCTCCACAACCCTAACCACCAACCCTCCTGACCCACGCACCGCACTTGCTGCCTGTTCCCAACCACACGCTACCACCACGTGTCCTCGTTTAGGATCAACAAGAACTCCACCGCCACCGCCCGCGCCTTTGGTGCCGCGCTGCCCGTCGACCGAGAACTCTACACAGATTGGTCAGTCAACGCGTGCTTCCACTCTAGTCGCTTGCTCCCTGCCTTCTCTCTGAATTCTTCACCTCACACACACACACGCTGCGTGGTGCTTGCGCCCAATGTCGCGTGGGATCACAGGAGTGGCGATGATGAGGGCAAGGCCGCCTTTAACGAAGCACGCGAGGAGAAGAAGCGGCAGCATGAGCAACTGTTTGCCGCCTGCAGGGATGGCGACGCTTCCGTTGTCACCTCCCTCATGGAGCAGGACAATGCAGACATCAACCAACAGGACAAGCGGGTATGTTCATCATGTGTGTGTTGTGCTTGTATGTGAACGGCGCTCGCTCATGGTTGCACCGGCCGTGTGTTCGTTTCCAACAGATCCTCACCACACGTGCCATGCCCCTTCCTGCCCCCCACCCAAACACAGGGCGACACACCGCTGCACGTTGCCTGCAGGCACAACCAGCCCGCCGTCGTGGAGCTGCTCCTGAAGAAGGGCGCAGACACTGCCGTCAAGAACATCAGGGTACGCGCGCATGTGCCGTGGGTGCGACGCCTTTATTGCACAACCGCGCCTCTTTTCAATGTGCACTGCTTCTGTGCTCGCTCACTCTGTCCGCATCCAACATCCACAGGGTGGAACACCATTCATGGTGGCGCAGAAACGCAATTTCCACGCCATCACCAGTATCCCAGGGCTCGACCCAGACAGCAAACCCCAGCAACAACCACAGCAACAACAGCAACAACCAAAGCAAGAGCAGCAGCAGGCGGACATGACAGCTTCAGACACACCAGATACAGAGCATGTACGTGCACAGGAAACCCATTGTCGTTTGCACTGCTGTACCACTTCAGACTTTTTTTCCTGTGAACCTCTTGCAACACACGCATCCGCCTTATCGTCTTGTGCGCCGCCATCATCCACCATCATACACCATCATCCATTCATTCCCCGCCAACGCCAATGCCCCCGCTGATGTACACAGGTGCACAGAGAGGCGGTGCAGGCGCGCATGATGGACATTGCGGAGCGCTCCGACACGCACATGGCGGGGCGAGCCAAGATGGGAGTATCTGGCCAGGGCCGCGCGGGCAAGACGACGCTTGTGAACTCGCTCAGGGGTAAGCCGTTCAACAAGCAGCAGCACTCCACGCTCGGCGCCACCACCGATGACATGAGAGTCACCGTCCACACCATGGAAGTGTGCGACTGGAAGGTACGTTTAGTTGCGTGTATGTGCACGTGATTGTGTGTGTGTGTGTGTGATATGTGCATCCACCTTGTACCAACACTTTCCACCATCATTCGATCAATCACCACCTTATGTCATTGTTCACCAACACTCACAAACACCCACCCTTCCACATCTCGTGCAGGAGAGTGACCAGAGCACGTCCGAGTTCATCCGCAGTCTCGTTGGCACGGCGATGGCACGCGAGGCCGGCGTGGACGAGGAGCTGAAGCGCGCGTCAGCAAAGGCACAGGCGCAGCACGCCACCCGTGTTAACCAGCACCAGCGCGAGAACGAGGACAAGGATGCCAAGAAGCAGCGCAAGAAGGGCCGTGACACATCCACAACTTCCACCCCCTCATCCGACAAGGCGTCCACCGCAGCCGTGCCTGCACCTGCTGCAGGTCGTGATGCCTCCACAGCAACGCCTGCAGCAAAGGAGCAGCACCCAGCTTCCAGCCACGCCGACGTTGGTGACGACGATGCTGACGTCGTTGCCGTGACCACACCATCCGTTTCGAAGGAGGAGGTGGAGAAGGCAATCAAGGACATGGACTTTGATGCGACAATTCGCGAAGGCAAGATGCAGGTCTCCTTCAAGATCTTCGACCTGGGCGGCCAGTCCACCTTCTACGTCTTTCACCCTTTCTTCCTCACCAAGTGAGTCGCTGTGTGTATGCGTGCATTTGTGTGTGTGTGTGTGTGTGTGTGTGTGTGTGTGTGTGTGTGTGTGTGTGTGTGTGTGTGTGTGTGTGTGTGTGTGTGTGTGTGTGTGAGTGTGTGTACGAGTGTGTGTGGTTATGTGTAAAAGAGGAAAGGATAGTCAAAAAGAACAAAAAGGAGCCAAGAAAAGAAGG